GGTGATCAGAAAACACACTTACCTAAGGTAGATAGTAGAGCACTGTAAAGAAGCTAATCTGTCCGAAGACCGCCGCCAAAGAACCAGTGATCGCGGACGGACCAAAACCGCAAAAGTTTAGTTTTTATTAAAACAGCGTATGATATTATGCAGCGGCAAGAGCTAAACGTGCAGTTTGCGAAAGACTTGGCTAATGGAAGAGTCTTTGTACACTTGGTCGAGCCCTGTTTAGATAAGTATAATCACATTTCTGTCGACTAAGCTAGGTAAACTTTTTTTACGTGACCTCAATAAAGCATGGGCGTCGGTTTTCAAGATGGAAGGAAAAATACCACGTCCTACGTAATTAAGATTTTATTAAAACAAACAAACTCCTAAAGAGCATAAAAGTAACATACTGTTAAATACTGATGCTGCAAACATTTACGGCGCTACTATGCTTGATGTTGATATAAACCCCAGACTCAGAGGTCGGGGGCGTTGATTGACAAACAAGCAGAAACAAGTAAAAACCGTTAGTAAACAGACATACAAGCGCGCGATAAGAGTTGATATGCTGATAGTACAAGGCAGGTGCCGTAACGGAAGAAACAGGGATAAGCGGAGGGGAAAGGAACTGATCTGTGTCGCAATACAATCGAATGGCGGGGCATATGTTGTGAACTTAATAATATTTAGTGGCAAACAGCATGATCACTGATGTTCGTCGAAGAAATGTTCCGTTGGCCAGAAGTAAGAAGAGAAATATCATCGAGAAGGCCGAAGGAGCCACCTTAATGTGGTCGTATGCGACCCGGGGCCGACTCGGATTGATTCCGAAAACGAAGGCGCTGTGCGCTTGTATTAGCATTATTTGGAGCGTTCGTAATCATCTGAAGGAGGTGTTCCATTATGAGTTCCACCCCGACAACATTGTCCGGTGCTCGTGGAAGGATTACGTCTGCGTACTTCTTCGTCTGAGGGTGAGCCATATTTAAATGCAGGTTAGATCAAATAAGTAATTCAATAGAAAAACGCCCCTCGATTCAGAATAACACAAAAATAAGAAAAGGTACATCTGGAAAACTCATTCTCAGAACGAATTTCGCACAGACGTAAAGAGCAAAATTTAGTCGACGACCTTTGTACCTTCACATTGATTTTCTGTGCAAATTCAACTGACTGTATACTACTCATTCATTTTCAATTTTATGAAGTGACGGGTTATCGCGAAATTTATTGGTATTAGCCAATATTGCTGGTTAAGCCTGCTTTGAGTAAGACGCAAACAGTATACTAAAGTCATCACACTGAAGCAAAACATGTAGATTACTCTCCATTAAAGTGATGATGGGCACAGAAGAACATCGAGTCAATCGGGATGCATGATGACTTAAGTTTGGTAAGACTAACACAAACCCGTAAGTTC